TTTTAAAATTATGTGTCTATGTATGTATGTATGTATGTATGTATGTATGTATGTATGTATGTGTATGTGCATGTAAGTGCAGTGCCCAAAGAGGCCAGCAGAGGGCATTAGATCCCCTGGAGATGGAATTACAGGTGGTTATGAACTTAGGTCCTTGGCAAGAGCAGTAAACACTCTTTTTTTTTTTTTTTTTTTTGGTTTTTTCGAGACAAGGTTTCTCTGTGTAGCTTTGCGCCTTTTCCTGGAACTCACTTGGTAGCCCAGGCCGGCCTCGAACTCACAGAGATCCGCCTGGCTCTGCCTCCCGAGTGCTGGGATTAAAGGCGTGCGCCACCACCGCCCGGCAAAAGAAATTCTCTGGTATGTGTTTCTTTTTTTTTTTTTTTTAATAGGTTTTTTATTTTAATTTTTATGTGCATTGAATCCCCTAGAATTAGAGTTACTTAGAGTTGTGAGCTGCCATATGGGTGCTGGGAATTGAACCTGGGTCCTTTGGAAGAGCAGCCAGTGTTCTTAACCACTACACCATCTCTCTAGCCCCAAGAGCAGTAAACACTCTTAACTACTGAGCCATCTTTCCAGCGCCACAGAACATTTTGGGTAGGGAGGGAAAATTTGGTTTTGGAATTGCTGATTACATGGCTTATTATTTTTCTTCTGCAAATATGTTCATGGCTTTCCCATCTATTCCTGTGTGTGTGCACATACATGCATGTTTGTGTGTGCATATAAGTATGTGCATGTGTGTACATTCATGCCCCACAGAGCATCCAGTCAACCGCAGATCTCATGTGGTGATGGTCTCATAATATGAAGCTAGCTCTGGGGACAAATTACTTCAGTTTGTAGGACACTGACTTGACCCCACTTGCTGCACTTCCTGTCGGTCACCCAGTAGCCTCGCACACATAGGAAGTCACGGACAGTACATGATAGATACTTGGTAATGACAGCATGCGACTGTGGTGCGGGTTTCATGTTAACCACAGTCAGCCAGCTGTTCGTTACCATTCTAGCATATTCTTATCCATGAAATAAAAGCTGACTGCATCTAGAAGCAGGCTGAGTAATGACAGCGACCCACCCCATCCAAGTTTGCAGGAGTCATGACCTCCTGCAGAGGCAGATTTCCCAGAGTGCATTTCTGTCTGTTTTTGAAATAGTCAGCTATGTAGTTGAAGCTGGCGTGTAGCGCAGGCTGATCCTCCTGCCTCAGCCTCCCAAGTGTGGACTTCCATACCTGGCTCCCAAGATGCATACTCTTATGCATCCTTGCTTATGACATACTCTGTAGCAGAATATTTTAAGGTGTGTTACTTTTGTTTATATTGCGTTTGTTTAACTCTGTGAAGCTGTGTTACTGTGCCTGTGTAAAACACCTGATGGTCTAATAAAGAACTGGCCGGTAGCAAGGCAGGAGAAAGGATGGGCGGGGCTGGCAGACAGGATATATAGAAGAAGAGAACTGGGAGGAGAGATCTAAGAGCTAGCAGCAGGAGGAGGAGGAGGGCTCCAGGGGGCAGCTTCCCAGCTACACAACCAGCAAGCCATGGAGAAAGAGTAAGATTTACAGAAGTTAGAGAATGGGAAAAGCCCAGAGGCAAAAGGTAGACGGGTTAATTTAAGGAAAGCTGGCTAGAAAGCTAAGGCCGGGCGTTCATAAGTAATAATAAGCCCCCGCGTGTGATTTATTTGGGAACTGGGTGGCGGGCCCCCTCAAAAACAGTAAAAACCTCCAACAACAATACTCTGCCATGAATCTGCATGTGGCTGTATGTGCACACACACACACAGCTGCATATCCACACACATGGAATGCATTCATTACATGCATGCATGTGCATGCTTAGGTGTTTCCCTCCTTATATTCCTGTCTTCTCCAGTGCAGGTGAACATCACAGAGGCTGTGTTTAGGTCAATCACAGCTGCACTGGGGTGCCCAGAAGGCTGCCGTGTCACGAGGCCACAGTAGTCTAGGGCTTGTGAGGCTCTGCAGGTTCCAAGCCATGCTGTGTCACACTCCCTGGGGTTGGAACCGGATGGGTCAACGTGTCAACTTGTCTGCTTGTGGCCCAGAGCCCGTGGTTCACCTCTGTGGCTCAGTGGTCTTGTCTGTAAGATGGGACACTATTGACAATGCCAGCAGCTGTCCACAGTTACAGTGAGGACTGGGTGAGTGATTACAGGCGGCCAGCAGCCAAACTCGCAGAGCAGACACCCCCGGATTATGGATACCAGGACTGCATGCGCCCTCACTGTAGAGTATCGGTTGCTATAACTACTACACTGTCCTGACCAGCAGGCCCTTCTCCACCTGTGGCCAGTGTCCTGAGGTCCAGCTGAGTCCTTCGTTTGGAGGCAGATGGAAGGCTCAGGGAGATCCGTGTGGTTGCCTCAGTTGGAATAAGATGAAGGGAACACACACAACTGAGCCTTTGCTGGTGGCATCACACGGGAGCCAGGAGCCCAGTCAGCTACTAGGATCCTCAGTATGCTGCTTGGAGGAGACCAGGGCTGAAGTCACTTGAGGGTGGGGTCTGATATTTCCTGCTGGTCTACCTGAGACCAGCAGGAAGCTGGGTAACACATAAGGATTAGTTATGCCCGCACCAGCTGGGATGTGTAGATGCTGCTGGTGACATACTTGTGGTCCCGTACAACAGGCTCATGGGTGACAGAAATCCCCGCGCCCCCCCCCCCCCGCCCCCCTGCTCCAACTCAGAGGAAGGTAAAATTCACAAACAGCAAGTGCTGGCAGAATCCTGTCAAGGAAGGTGTTTACTATGGTTCGAGTAATCGGGAAGGGCTTGGGTCCCCATCACTGGGGAGCAAGATGGATTATGAGACATCCGTGGGTGGTCACGGCTGTCTGTAGGACACATTAGCACTTCTTGTGCTGGCACAGCACGTACTGGGGTTTTGCTGAAGGCACAAAGCATGGCTTGCTGTTGAGTGGCTTTGAGAACAATTAAGTTATGATCTACAGCTGTGTTGGCCACCGCCCGGAAGGTGGGGGACCTGGAAGCCAGATCAGCAGAGCTCAGCCTAAGGGACAGCAGGCACAAACAAAGTCACCAGATCCTAGGGAGGGCAAGGACACACTCCTATGGAGAGACGTCCCCGGGCACAGCATGGAAAGGCCCCTAACTGTCCATCATTTTAATCTGGCTGGTAGTGTCAGGGAGAAAGGGCTGGCTGGGTAAAGAGAACATTAAACCCGCCATCCGTGGGCCCCTTTATTCTTCCAACACGAGGCCCTGGAATTGTGTTCCACTCACAACCTCCAGGGGGCAGAGTGTCTCTCTTGGACCCTTCTTGCACAGTATAGCGAAGGGCTGGCATCTTGGCTTGTTCATCTCAGAGGCAATGTCCACACCTAGCCAGAGTCAGAAGTTTCTGGTTTACAGAAATTAGTAATGGCATATGCTTCAGTGGTAGGGTCTCTTTCTGAGCCAGAATTGCCATTTGTAAATACCATGTAGGGTATAGCAGCTCACTCCTATGATTCTAGTGCTAAGGAGGCTGAGACAGGAGGATTTCCGAGCGTTCCAGGCCAGGCTAGGTTACATATAGAGTGAGACCTTATCTAAAAACAAAATTTCCTGCATGCTGTCATTTATTTATTTATTCTGTGTGTGGGCCTGATTTTGTTTGTCATGGTTAGTTCTGTGCTGTACCTCTAACAGGGACCCTGACATGTGACTGAAAGAGATGACCTGTGTGAGGCCCACCATCTTATATGCCCACTGGTGTCGGCTGCTGTCTTTCATTACAGGGCAAGCAACTTACAGGCAGTCACTAGGATAGCCCTGTCCTGTCTGCCTGCCACCAGCTTGGGTCTAACTCCATGTGTTCACCTGGAACACCATATCATTCTTTAGAGTCGGGGACAATAGAGGAAAGAGAAAAGAAGGGGCCTGATGCACCCACAGTTCTCTGTGCAAAGATGCTCCAGTCAAGCCCCTGTCCTCGTCCTGAGTGATTGGCTGAGGCGCTGGCAGCTTCCCAGACTCCTCTGGGGGCATCTGCACAAACTCAGCACTCTGGTCTCTGGAGCTATGGAGGATGGTTAGGTGTGGGGCCCTCCTGGGAGCTGGAGAGCCCTGGGGGCTGGAGGTGTCTCCTGCATGTGGGAAATCAGCCACGATATTCACCTTCTGGTTTATATTTCCTGGTCTTTTCTAAATTTCCTCTACTTATCGTCAAAGTCATTAAACCATTAAACATCACGGACTGAAGAAGATTTGCAAGGGCTTGTGGAGGACGGCATCCCTGTCTGCCTTGGCTGAAGCTCTGGGTTAGCTCATGGAACTTTGCACAGCTCTGTGAGGTCAGCATTGTCCTGCTGGAGTGTGCAGTGGAGGCACAAGCTGCCTTTGAGGGCGCAGGTGATCTGCCCTGCTAAGCACAGCCCCTTCTTTGCTCAGCCAATCCTAGCTCTCCTTTCTTAGGCTGCTCAGGAACAACCCACTTTAGATTTTTTTATTATAAATGACCAGACATTTTTATATACTTTGCTTTTTTTTAAAAAATTGAGATTAAGATTCATACATATAAACATACATACATTTGTAATATAATTAATAAGTCAAGTTCATACATTTAAGTAAATGTTATCACTTCTAAAAATTAACCTGCAGAAGATTTTTCCATTGTGGAATATTTAGTAATGCAATTGTGGTTAGTATTGGTTAATATTATCAATACTATATAACATTAATATAACACAATTAATGTTAAAATTAACGGTAACTATTTGGTTAGAATATTTATAGAGACCATCTGCAATGCATTTAGGATCTAATTTAAATACATGGTATCGCATACAGTGGGCAAAAAGATACTTTTTTATGTGTTAATTCTCAAAAGAGCTGCCGTCAGAGGTGTTTACTAGTGTGATTTTGACTAGTATTGGTTAATGCTACCAATAGTTTTCATAAGTGTTATTTATAATACATTTTTGATATAATTCAATGCATGTCTATTGTCATTTCTCCTAGGAGAATCTCTGACACAAAATGTATACACATCTATCTCAAAGATAAAATTGACATTAAAGAAGTAACTCAGGCGGTGTGGAAAAAAACAGGAAAAGCTGCAGGTAAAACCTGAACCAGGACAGCAGCTCCCAGCTCGGTTTTGGTCACAGCTTTCTGGTCCTTGTTTCTGTGCACTGGGCGCTGTGCAAGGTCGGGACTTACTCTGCGAGCTTCTGTTGAGCATTGGCTGGTTCTGGGTCCTCAGGTCCTCAGATGCAGGCTCTGGGGAGCCGCGGTGTCTGCCTGTCATGCAGATTTGTCACCCAGCCCTCACTCGCATCCTCCCTGTAAGTTGTAAAAACTGCTCACAGGAGATGCTCGGCTCGCTCGTTTGTGGTTCTTTCTGCAGGGAAGCAGAGCGTGCAGAGGACACCTGCAGGATGGGTGGGACACATTGTGGGGCTGCAGTGGGAGCCGAAGTCATCCTTTCTGTGTGACACAGGAACATCAAGCTCTGCCCGCTCCAGGCTGAAGGACAAAGAAGCAGGCGTGTGTGGGATCTGCTTTGATCACTGGCTGGGATGGGCTTTGAAAAGGTATTCAACTGTTCTCAGCCGCACAATCTTCTTTGGATCTGAACACGCTGTTCACGGGTTCAGGATGCAGTGCCAGTTGGTAGGTGAGTGGGTCTTTTTCTCGGTTGGTTTTTTTTGTATTTTTAATTTTGCCTGCTTTCCTGATGGCTTTCATTTCTAATGCACCTTAGTGTTCCTCACCATTATTTAATTATGTCATTTACTTAGTGTGTGTGTGTCGTGGTATGTTTATGAAGGTCAGAGGGTAACTCGGTGACATCTATTCTCTCCTTCACCATGTGGGTTCCAGGGATTGAACCCAGGCCATCAGGCTTGACAGCAGGTGCTTTCTAAGTGGTGTGTGGGCATCTCACAGTGTGGGATCTGCCTGTCCTGGATGCTCGTCCTCCACTTTCTTTGTACTTGGCAAGGTCTTTCCTGACACAGGGAACGTCTACCTTTAATGTGCCCTTTGCCCTCTGTGCTCTGTGCACTGAGCTCTGCTGCTGCTGTAGGGACTGGGTGAGGTGCATGGGGTGGGGGTCAGGACGGTAATTGCAGCTCTGGGAAGGGCCCAGCTATAGTCCAGGCACCGACACTTCTGCATGGATTGGATGTGGTTTTCAGTCCATGCTGAGTTCCCAGCCTCTGCTGGCCGCAGGACCTCTGCTCTGATCTCTCCATCTCTTGGCCTCTCCTCATCAGAGCTGTTCTGTGCCGGTTTTTATAACTTCTCTTTTCCATATGCGTCTTGCTCAGCTTCTTTGATCTGTGGAGCCAATGGCTTTTTTTTAAATTTCCTTTTAAAAAAATAATATTTAGCCGGGCGGTGGTGGCGCACGCCTTTAATCCCAGCACTTGGGGAGGCAGAGCCAGGCGGATCTCTGTGAGTTCGAGGCCAGCCTGGGCTACCAAGTGAGTCCCAGGAAAGGCGCAAAGCTACACAGAGAAACCCTGTCTCGAAAAACCAAAAAAAAAAAAAAAAAAAAAAAAAAAAAAATTAAAAAATAATATTTATTTATTTTACAACCCGACCACTGTTTCCCCTTCTTCCTCTCCTTCCAGTGCCCCCCCCACCTCCCCTCTGCACCCCCATCCACTCCTCCTCCATTTCTGTTCAGAGGAGGGCAGGCCTCCCGTGAATATCAACCAAACATGGCATATCAAGCTGAAGGCTGGATGAGGCAATCCAGTATGAGGATAAGGGTCCCAAAACCCAACAAGAGTCAGAGGCAGCCCCTGCCCTGGGAGTACTGGGAGAGACAGCTAGAATTGGGGGTCATTTCGGAGACGAGCTAGAAACCTAGTGCAATGGAAACTCCCAGGAATCTATGTTGGTGACCCCAGCTAGGACTCCCAGCCAATGGCTTTTTAACAGGTGACTCAGGACAGTTGGCTTGTGCATGAAGTGGAGCTCCCAGAGCTGGAAACCTCCCAGAAAGCCAGGAGGCTGCGTCCCTGGGCCGACCGACCGACCGGGAGGGAGCCTGCCCTTCCCAGCTGCAGGCTTCTTGCTTCGGATCACTTGTTCTCTCCAGCCCTTCCCCTCACCCACCGAGGCTTTCCAGAGGCTGTGGACAAGCTCTCCTTTTGGGGACATGAGGCAGTGGCCTTTCACGCAGCCAGGGGTCTTGCTCTTTCCTTTCCTTTCCTTTCCTTTCCTTTCCTTTCCTTTCCTTTCCTTTCCTTTCCTTTCCTTTCCTTTCCTTTCCTTTCCTTTCCTTTCCTTTCCTTTCCTTTCCTTTCCTTTCCTTTCCTTTCCTTTTTTTCTTTCCTGGTATTCCTAAAGATAAGGAGCTTGCCTTTGCCCTGTGGTGAGTGTTTCAAAGCAATGAGGTTCACACATGACTGAAGAGTCTCTCTAGAACTTTCCTCTTTTTGCCCCCCACCTCTCTCTCTTGTGGAAATCACCTGTGGTGGGCAGGCAGGACTGAATGCCCTGGATCATGGAGAGGAAATGCAGATGGGAGTGCAGCCCAGATGCCTGCACCCAGCTTTTCTGCTCTGCTCAGAACCAGCCAAGGCTTTTAATTCATTACCACACAAGAAACCCACAAACAAGGCTTTAAGACCCCCCATTTTGTGGTCTCAAAAAGCAAAGTCCAGAGAAACCCTGTCTCAAAAAACAAAAACAAAACAAACAAACACACAAACAGAAAGCAAAGTCTTCCTGAGTCAACAGATTCACTCCAAATGAAGTGAGAGAGCTCAGACCGGCTGCTTTTGCATCCTCAGGTTTAGTCCTGTGCTACAGTGTCTTAGGGAGCTTCCGATTTTCCCACAGAGGCATCCAAACTGAGCGTCTGCAACTGGAGCAGCAGAGGGTTCTTGGTGCAGGGGAGCATGTCTCTCACTGAATCGGTGGTGGTGAGGCCTGAATGGCCTTAGTCCTTAGGTTTTTGATGGGAGTCCAGCTCCAACCTGTGGAAGGGTTCTTGTGGTGAAGACAGAGGAATAAGGAAGTATTAGATAAAAATATAGATGTAGACAGAGACACAGAATAGCTTCTGGAGGGCCCTGGGTCAATACCCAGTCGCCTGAGATTTAGTCTAATGAGCTTTCTATACAATACTAAGGGGAAAGGCACCCCCCCCCCCTTTTCAAGATCAAAGCTCAATGTACAGCCAAGTGTAGACCCTTCAAAACACTTGGTACTCACAGCCCTGGCCAAATCGACTTATTATGCAGCCCTGCTGGGTAAAGCAAGTTCAGATTCTCTGACCTTGAGTAAGGTCTTACTAGGGAGCCTCTGTGGGCCCCCACAGTTTTCCTCATTGACTTACCAAGAGGTGGACCCTCATGATTCCCTGGTTTACACCAAACAGGTACAGTGCAGGGGCCTGGCTGTGTGTGCAAATCTCAGCTTAGCAACTGGTGGCTGAGCAGCTGATGGCAGACCCTTCACTTACCTTGGCTTCTTGACCCATGAGGTGGGGGCTCTGAGAGAGCACCTGGGTGTGGCAGCATGGAGGTGTGGAGCATTTTAGAGCTGAGGTCCTGGGCTGCGGACTGCCAGCTGTCATGTCTGTTGCTGTTCATGTGTGAACTAGCTGGAGTTGTTAATCCAGCCATTCATTTAGGTCACTGTGCCAACAAATGGGGGAAGGGTCAGGTCTTCCCCGAGGGGCCCAGGCTCCTTACCCACAGTGCCATGGAGACATGACCTCCATTCAGAAAGATCATCACGGGAAGAACACCTTCGGCTAGACCTCCTCAGTAGGCCATACACCTCCCTGTGCCTCCCCCAAACCTCCGTGACCTTGATTTTATTGAATATTGCCAACACCTGTTTGTAGAATCTGGCTTGTTCAGTGTAGACAACCAACTGCCTCTAGTTGTCACAACCCCACGCAAGCCCTGCGACTTTAGGGTTGAGCCAGGTCAGAGCTGCAGAGAGGGGCTGAAGTTCTCACTCACAGAAGAAGAGGGGCTTCTGTGTGCATTAAGAGGTCCGGGCCTCCAAAAACCAGGTCAAGGTTGCTTATGCCTACCCACTTTTGTGCTGGCCATCTGCATGAGGAAACTGACCAGGAAGACATTCCTGTATCGTAGCCCCTCCTCATGCTGCTGCTGGCCTGGTCCCAGGAGTCCTGCTCACAGATCTCACTGCACATGGCTTGTATTGTGTAGGGCTGAGGTGGCCTTGGAAGTTGTCTGTGCATACCTCATTGTGTATTATATCTGAAATGATATTTGAAACCCTGATAAGACCCCTTTGTAGGATCAGAATGTGGGTACCTGGTCATCCCACCAACACTTGGTAGAGTTCTCTTTGCTGTAAAATGGAAACAGCACTGGCTCTAGCCCGGGGCTGGGCTGAGACACAAGCACGTGACTCGGTGTATTTGCAATGTCCAGACAGGGGGAGTATCTGCAGATGTCTGCTGGTGGAGAGGACACTAGGGTGGTAGCTGGAACTGGTGGCAGGCTCCGCTCCCTGTTTTCTGAGTCTGTCCCCGCTTCTCTGTATGTTTCCATTTCTATTTCTGTCTCTGTCTCTCTCCCTAATCTGACATAAGGTCCATCTTCTGGCAAAGTCCAGTAGGGAGGGCTCTGAGGTAGGAGGGTCTCCAAGTGAGTCACTATCATCCAAGGTGATGTCCAGAAGTTCCACATCTGCCTGAGGATGTTGTTAGCCTTGAAGCTGAAGCTACATCCTGTAACCCAAGCAGTGAGATGGCAGACACACAGACAGATGGACAGACACACACACACACACGAGGGGGAGAGAGAGAGAGAAAGAGAAAGAGATAGAGAGAAAGAGAAAATGCCCATCAACCATCTTATGTTTCCCTGTCATGAACGGCCCCTGTGTGGGGCAGTTGTTACATGTGATAAACTATTTATTTTTAACATGAAGTCACGTTTAAAAAGAAACCTTTAAAAGTTTCATTACGTGTGTGTGGGTTCATAAGTGCTATACGACTCATGTGCAGGTCAGAGGACAACTTGCGTGTTGGTCCCAGGGTGTCAGGCTTGGGTTGTAAGTGACTTTACACACTCAACCCTCCTGCTGGTCTTCCTTCTTCTCTCTCTCTCTGTCTCTCTCTGTCTCTCTCTCTCTCTCTCTCTCTCTCTCTCCCTCTCCCTCTCTCAAGTTTGCTGTGTGGCCCTGACTGGCCCGGAACTCACTGTGCAGACCAAACTGGTCTTGAACACACAGCGATCCTCCTGCCTCTGCCTCTTGAGTACTGGAATCACAGGCACAAGCTGAGCCAGCCCTGCCCTCTGTGCTGAGTCTGAGCCGTCACTGTAACAAGAGGTATCCTTTGGGTGTCCTCAAAATTCCCCGTGAAATTTTAATTTTTGCCTTTTTAAACAACTAGTCTCCCCCAACTCTCAGGGCTAAATAACCCAGGAAGCACACAGTGGACTAACACACGCCGGAGAACTGACCTCATGTCAGAGCTAGGCAAAACTGGGGTGTCGCTGCATCTGAGGCCGTCGGTCTGCAGGGAGCATGTGCATATATATGTGCAAACATGTTTGAGAGGGGGTGGGGCCTTCGGGCAGGGAGGTGGGGACACTCCTCCAGAGACAGCGCTGTCTCCTGAGTAGGAGACCGGGAGGCTGGAGCTGAGGTCACTGATGCTGTCTGCAGCTCTGGAGTCTGTGACGCCTAGGGGCGGTCTGACAGGCTTCAGAAGGCCTGTCTGTTTGCTGACACGGGGTCTGTTCCCCTTCTTAGGGTTGCAGGGTCATTGCCAGCAGCCATTGTCCTGAGAGACATCCTTGACATCCGGGTGTGCTGGTGAATGTGTGGGACCAGGTAGAGTCACCAAGATGAAGCCTCAGCCCAGGACCCACAAGCTTGTCCTTTACAGCTAAGCAGCCAGTGTGCCAGTGTGTGTGGCCTCCATCCTAATGTACACTCCCACTGTCCTGTTGGATCCAAGGCGTAGGCTGCAGTGTGTAAAACAGTCTCATCGTGTCCATCTGCCTAGGATGTGTTTGCTTTGATGCTCTCCTTGCCTTGCTTTGAAGAGACTCCTGTGTGGCACTTCCCATGTCAGGGACGGGGCAGGCTCATTCTCCTGGGCTCCCTAGGGCTGCACACACAGACCTTTGCCTGGCTTGCCTTCCTGGCTTTGGTGCTGAGCGGAATGGAAGGAGTCCTCTCTCTGTGCCTGGCTTCCCGGTGGCTCAGACACCGGAATGCATGTAGCTCCTGCGACGCATTCTTTTAATATTCTCAAAGTCAGTTGCCTCTCTTCAGTCCTCAGCATTTACTCTTCCAGCTGAAATGCTCCTGACTGTTCCCCCCTTCCATTTTATTAGGCTAATAAAACTTGGTTTTCTAGTGCTTGGTGCCCCAGGAGGGCAATCGACCCCTCATCCAATTCATCAAGTGCCCGATGAAGCTCCCGAGGTCCCAGCTTCAGTCCCCGGCTCACTGGGCCTCATAAAGGCGAGGCCTCTGGCTCGTACCTTGGGTTTGCCTGATGTGCGGCCCACTCTCCTCCTGGCCCACCAGCACTCAGGATTTATATGATGCTCCATACCACGAGGCTCCTCTGCCCACTTGTTCCACACCCACATACTGGGCCACGAAGCCACGGCTGCGGTAAAACGAAAGTGTGGATGCTAGTGTTTCGGAACATTCCAACAAGGGGGTTGGTGGGAAATGTTTGTGTTTACATTCATGAGGGCAGCTCTGTGGGAGTCGGGGTGATAGTTTGAAAGGGGGTTTTTGGCCAGAAGAACCAAGCTGCCGCTTAAAATAAATAAATTTAAAATAAAACGTGTTGGTGTGCACACACCCATGAACATTCGATTTCTAAATTCTTTGGTCCATACGTTTGTGACGTTTATGGTTTATTTTTTATTTATTTATTTTTTTGGTGCTTCAGAAAAAGACCATTAAAGGAGGAGCAGTGTGTGTCCGCGGTCCTCCACATCTTTTCCTTTCCCACCTTAACGCAGCCATCAGCTCCCAGCTGGCTCCAGGCTTCAACCGTGTCTGCTGCGCCAGCATGCTTGAAAACTAGACTGTACTAGAACACAAGCCGTCAAGGGCTAAAGGGACATTCACCAGCCAGATGTTTGTCAGCCTCCTCCACACAGCAATCCAGTCTTGTTAGTTTGTATCACTGCCCTGTCCTCTCCTCTGGCTCAAATCTTCACAAAATGTCCCTACTTTATTAGCTGCCTTCCCTGGGGGCATACAAAGTTGCTAATAAATTACTCCAGCCGCTATGCTAGCCGCTCGTCTTCTCTCTCTCTCTCTCTCTCTCTCTCTCTCTCTCTCTCTCTCTCTCTCTCTCTCTCTCTCTCTCCAGTGCCCATCCTGAGCTCTGAGTGTTGCACCCACAGTCAGGGGAAAGATAAAAACATGGAGTTGGATAGGACTCCTGTACGATTTTTAGCTATGACCCATCGGACCATTGGATTCCTGCCTGGGCTGGGGTCCGGGGGAGTTCTTTTGATGGCATCTGATAGGACAACTGTCTTCTGCAGGGTGCGACAAATGAGGAAGATTCCAGACCTCAGCAGTCAAGGAAGGTCGTCATGGCCTGGGCTGACAATGGCTTTCTTCAAACGAAAACACCAGTGTGAATGGTGGTGGCCCGCGGCACAGACAGTGACATCAGAAGTCTCAGCAGCTCAGATCATCTGTCCTTCTGGGGCCAGCCAATTCCTTTCCGGGGTAGCTGGACCCAGGAACACCCCAAATCCCACCCTCAATCTCCACAGTGGCCTCCAGGTAACCGTGTACCCCAGTATAGGCCAGTTTCAACACCCTGGAGGGCCCCGAAGTGCTGTGGCACGTTTAGGCGGCTTGGAGTCTGGACCTGGGAAGCTGACAGTGGTGCCTTGGATGGGGGTTGGCAGGAGCAAGCAGCCTCAGGCCGAACCTCGAAGGGACCCGAGTCTGACCCAGGCATCTTCCAGTTGCCTTAATTCCACCCTTGGGTGCTGGAGTCAGAAGCCCCTCTGGTTCCCCCACCCCCCACGCACCCTCTTGCTGTACGCTGAGTACATGCAGCTTATCCTTTGCAAATCCACTTCGAAGGGATTTTTGTTTTGTTTTGTTTTCTCTACTTGACACTTTAGAGTAAAGTAGGCCATTTATCTTCCAGGCAGAAGAATTTCAACAGTTCGACCGCTCCACACGGGCTCAGGGTGTGGAAGCAGCTTTGGGCCTTTCTCATGGGCTTAGGACAGTCTTAGCTGATGCCTCCTAAACCCTAGCTTTCCTCCCCTCCAGCTAATCCCCGGACTGCCACCCCTCCCACGGATCCAGCCCACCTCAAGCTCCCCAGACTGAAAGGCGCATTCATGCCCCAGCCAGCTGTTTGTTTAAACTCACCCTGTGTTAGTCCATGTTAAACGCAACAGAACGAGAAGAAATGGAATTTTCTGCCGGCTTTTGATCAAAGAGAGGACTTAAAAAAATTCAAGACGGGTTCCTGCAGGACACTGTTATACACAGGCTGTGCATTTCTGTGCGCCAGTGTTTAGTTGATTGGGGGAACATGTTCTTTATCCTTTTGATCCCAGGAAGAAAACACACACACACACACACACACACACACACACACACACACACACACACACACGCATGCACACACACGCATGCACACACACGCACACACGCATATATATATGCATACAGAGACACACGTACACATACAACATATGCATGTGCGCACACTCATGAACATGCATATCCACATACACAGACACACATATATGCATACATACATCTATAACAAACACATACATGCACACATCCCCCTACTGTACACACACTTACATATGTTGTGTATAAATGCACACACACACACACACACACACACACACACACACACACTACAATCACATACATGCATGCACACAGACACAGACATTCATGCACATCTCGACACCACAAACACAAAACAATGGTCATTCTTTCCCAAGAAATTCCAGCAATGGAGGACTGCCCTTTAATTAGTTTATCAACAACAGAGAATTTAAAACATGGCCCTCCGCAGGATGCAAACTCTTTTTATTTTTTCCCCCAATTCATGGGAATTCAGGGTGAAGTCTCACTGGCTGTAAGGCCACAGGATGCCGACCACATGCTTGGAACACCCAATCTCCCTCCATCTATGTCTTCATGGTCAGAGTAGTCATTAAATGTTTATCCCTCCCACTCCAGCTTCGAAGCAAATGCCACTGAAATGTCCTTAACATGTCCCCATTTCCTGTCATCAGGGAGTTTGCTAGGGGCACTGGCTGTGAATTTAAGGCATGGGCTGCAGATCTGCAGGAGAAACTGGCTGTCTATACAGAGAACTTGGGGGTTGCGATCAGCCTGCATCCATGGCAGTCAGTCAAACCAGCCTTCGTATAACACGGATACAGAGGCTAATATTCCAAACTCGAACTTAGATTAACCTGGGGCCAGCACAGGCCACTGGAAAAAGTTAAAACATGCTCTGTTCCCCTCCACACTCCTCACTCACTTTTCCATTATGGAAAAAGTCTGAATTTGGTTTTTAAAAAATTTTTGTTGTGTTTCTACAGTCGATTGTTTGGTTAGTGACTTTGCCAGCTTCCTGGATACTCATTTCTGGTTCTGCACAAAACAGCCTCGTTTCCTTTTGGAATCAAGATCAGGCGGGGAAGTGGACTCAGAACCGTGAGTGTCCCCAACCCTTTCATCCCTGATTCAGCTTGGGGTGACTCTCCGCAGCCTCCCGGCTCTGGAGGGCCAGCGCAGTCAGCCTTAGCTCTGCTCTCTGCTTTTAGGAAGGAGATTCTAGAATTTCTACACAAACATCACATAGGAAGGCAGGGAGGGACTTCTATTTTCATTTTAAGGCTCTAAAAGATGGAGAAAGTAAACAGGGCGGGCTGCTTTATCTCAGGGGTTCACGGTGAGTCCCTATTGAATTTACCAAATAAAATGAATTTCAAAATTTTCATTTTCTCATTTTATTCCAGCAGAAAATGAGTTTGCCTTTATAATATCCAGAGCTTTCAAACTCTATTGAGTGAGAAATTAAGTTACAGAAAGTAAATACTCTGGTCTCTGCACACACCCGAAACGAGACAGTCTGTGACTGTAATATGATAGCAAGCCCAGCTTTGGGTTCCGAGATCACTTATTATTTTTTTTTTATGATGTATAATAAAGAGAAACAAGACCCGGCAAAAATGTTCCTCTTTTAGAATTGGTGAACTGTGATACAAAATAAATTTGATTGCAATTTTAATTTGTAAACCTAAGTTGCCAATTTTTAAAAAAATCTTCCAAATGTCCCAAAACACTGAAGGAATTGTAAAGAAAACAAAAATGAATGTTACAGGCCACAGGAAATTCTATCTTTATATATAGAAACACACATGTAAATCAGCCTCTCTGGTGACAAGAATACCTTGACTTTAATTACAAAGAGAAAGCAATATCTGAACCACAAGACAAAGCCAGCCACACTAGGAGCGGACTGTGAGGAAGGCAGGGCGGTTATTTGCATAGGAAAATCCAGAAACCGACATTAGGCAGATGTGGAATTGGAGTGTGATTATATTTATAACAAAAGCTACATAAATGTAAAAAAAGAAAGTTATTTTGCTTAAGTGCCTGAAAAAAAATTGAAATAATATTTGGGTTACTCCCGTCCTGTGCTTTGTGTTCTGGAAGCCCATGGGGTCCAGGAAGGATTAAAGAACTCGACCAGGGGCTGGAGCAACGGCTCAGCCTTTAAGAGCTCTTGCTGCTCTTTCAGAGGATCCGTGTTTGAGTCCCAGCATCCATATCAGGTGGCTCGAAACTTTCTGTAACTCCAGCTCCACATGATTCAATGCCTCTATCTTCACTGTCACCCACACATGTACACACACACACACACACACACACACACACACACACACACACACACATACACACGGTATTTGTTTTTAAAGCACTTTACCCCAATCAGCAAGGTGTGTGTATTGTGTGTTTGTGGATGTGCATATGTATAGATGCATGTATGTGTGCAGTGCACATGTGTGTAGGGATGGGTGCATGTATACATTGAGTGTGTGTGTGTGTGTGTGTGTGTGTGTGTGTGTGTGTGTGTGTGTGTGTTTGGTGTGTTTGTGTGTATGTCTAGCATCCCCAACTCCAGGAGGTATATAGAGGGAAAAATGGAAAGGAAGATATCTTTTACCCTAGAAATTCACTGCTTAGCACAAAACTCTTAAATAGTTAAAAACAACAATTTTCTTAATTAAAAAAAGAGAAAGAAAAGGAAAGTGGTAGGCAACGGGCCAGACACCCAAGGCTCACACAGAGATGCAGGCTGTCGTTTCTCTGTGCTTTTCAATCAGTCTGCATTCCTTTTCTTCACTCCAGACGCCTTAGCAGAAAGCGCCCTTCTCTGGCCGTCTGGCGACTGTCCAGCAGATGGTGCTGTGACTTCTAGAGACATGAGGGAAGGATGGGGGTGGGAAAGGCAGGACAGTGAGGTCTGCTGCAAGCCTGTCCCTGCCTCTCTTCTAGCGAGCGAGCGAGCAAGCGAGCGCTCTGCAGAAAGATGAGATACTTCTGTGAGGCCTCTGCAAGGTGCCAGCTCTCAAAGAGTATTTAAAGTAGTTAAGCCAGATGTCTGTCACCAAATGTCTGATCCCTAGGAAAGGGCCTGGGAGAGATGCTTCCAGCAAGGGGCGGATAGAGGTGTGAGAAGCTTAGGGGCCACTTTATTTCACAAGGTGACTGACCATGTAGAAGAGGATGACACCTTTGCTCTTCTTCCTCTATCATCATGGAGACCGGCTATCAGTGGAATTGTGATGAAGGTGAATTGACAGGTGTCAATCATGATGGGGACCCAGTCTCTCTGGATGGTGGAGAGCGGCTGAGCCTTAGCCGCTGTGTGTCTGAGCACCTGGCTGCCAGCTTTCTCTTCTGTCACTGTCTCCCGGTTGGGAAGAGGTTTCACTTTATTCCTCAAATGAACATTTTTTTTTCTACCCTTCTCCCTAAGAATCGTGGTCACGCTGTTCAATGCATGAATGTTTAAATTAAAACAATTTTAAGACATTTGCAGATGACCCTGACGGACATGTGACTCATTAATTTCTTTTAGCCAACTGTTAGCCGTATCATTTTTAATTTAAAAGGCAGTCTGCATGTCGGCAAAATATCTCAAACAATCTGGAATTCAACAAAAGCAGCACAAAGATTTATTTCCTTTTCTAAGAATGGTGCTATTTCTTCTTGGGGATGAGTGTGAGGGGGTTGCCTATGATTCCACACTTGAAGTACTAGTTAAAGACAGAACTGTGGGGGAGAAACGTGACTTCATCTGGTCTGGTAGTAATTAATCTTATATCGTTTTTTAAATTTTTAATTGAATGACACACTGGCTTTTATGCTTGTATGTATTTACAAATTGTACAAGTTAGTTACCCACCGTTCACAGCAAGGGCCTGTGTATTAATAAAATGATTGTGGAAAAAAAAACCCCAGCTGTTTAAATAAATTCTGTTCTGGTTTAAAGATTCTGCCCTTTGGGAAAAAGTCATTCAGAACTGAGCGGCAGACACCAGTGAACAGTTACCATGTAAATAAATCTTCCTGTAACTTAGTGCTATTTTTCTTGTGCAAGATACTAACACATTAAAAAATAAACTTTGTGTGTTGGGCTGTGTTTGTGTCGAGCGAGCTTCTGTAAGATGATCCGGAGAAAATGTGAACTAACTCCCTTGCGCCTTGGTTTCTTAGCTATTTGATACGTAGAAACCTCTAGAAAATGAAAGGAGTGACTCTGGCGAGAGCCATTCACATTTCCACAGTTGCACGGAGGGGTACTCTGGAATGAACGTGTAGAGAAAGCCGCTCACCTGGCACGTTGGCTTAAGGGATAATTTAATTACCCCACCAATTAGTGTTAACTTGCATTTCTGCCGAGGCCGGCCTTCTCACAGCCTTGTTTATTTCTAGAAATCAGCATGGTGACAGCTGTAATAGACCATTCAACAGCAAACATTTTTTTTTTTTTTCATCTAACTGAACATATTTCAGCTTTCAGGAACCAAGCATGTCAGGACTTTCCGAGTCGATGTGTGGGACTGTTGGGAGAGTATTTAAATCGAGAACTCCCCAGCCTGCCTGGCCATGTCCACAAACTTCCCACTGCCTGGCAGTCTGGTGGGTTTTTCCCACTGGTACAGCGATCCCAGCCCCTTTGGAGACTTTTTTTTCCCCCTTCCGTGGAAGGGGGGAAATCAGACTTGGAGCCCCCCCTCTCCATGTGGGAGTACAAGAACGGCTTGGGAGGCCCGAATCCCCGGCAGGCGCCGGCTGCATCTGTCACCAATAGTGTCGACAACAGCGTGCTGGTTCAGAGCCTGTGCCTCATATTTGTAAACTTTTCAATTTCTGTTTTCTGAGAAAGTCACGATTGATCTCTAGGAATAAAGGTGGGGAGACACAGTCCGTTCCTCTCGACAGCTGAAGACAATCAGGGCCAATCTTTGGTGGCGTGTTTTAGTTAAAAGGTAAAAAGAAATGCAGACCCCCAACAGACCAGGAGCCTCCTGAGGTATGCAGCCTTCACCCCAGGACCCCCCTCCCCTGTCACTTCAGGGGGGGCTGGTCCTGAAGGATCCCAGGAGTTTGATCTTGGCCCCTTGCATACTCTCTTGCAGTCCTTTTGGAAGGAGAAAAAAAAAACTCTGGATGGGTGTTCAGGGATCAGCTAACATGTCTGAACCGGGTGTGAGGAGGAAGAACTCATGCTCCTTTGTGCAAACAAGCCCCACAGATCAAACCCACCGGGCTCTCAGAAAGAAGGCTTCTTGTACAAATCTGCACTTTGGGAAGCAAAGCCCTTCCCAGCTAGCTGCAGGGAAGGTGAATCCCAGATCTCTCTCCTGGCTTCTCTGTCTGGGGATATAACTTGGCCAGCAGGGGCAGTGGTCGGACAGCACAGAAGAAATCTTCCTGATCACCCAGCTCGGAGGTGCAGAAGGCTTGGGTGGCACCGTGCTGCTGTTCAGTGACACTGCTCTCCCTCCACACCCTTGGCCACCCAGTGTCCTGGACCTCATTCTGGTGGTTGTACAACGTTGGTTTTTAGCTCACTAGTTGACTTGCCTTTAACTGGAACCCAGGCAGTTATAAGTGTATAAGTGCCCCAGCTTTCCGAAACTTTCTAGACATGCTTCCAGCCACTCTGGATACTCCAACACACTGAAGGCAAACTGGTGGCGTTTTCAAACTCACTTGCTGGTGTCTCCCAACAAGTTAAGCAGGTGGAGAATGTCGGTAGCCTCCCTGGACAACTGAAGGAAGCACTCCCTGAGGGCTGAGCCAGGGAAAACCGGAGACTTGAGTTCAAGCTGTTGAGTTAGCGACCACACTTTTTAATCCTTTAAAACCCCCTGAGACAGGGTCTCATGTAGCTCAGGCTGGCCATGAGCTTTCTGTGTAGCTGAGAATGATGCTGAAATTCTGATCCTCATGCTTCTATCTCCTAAGGGTGGGGATGACAGACATGTGCTACCAGGGGGACGGAGCCCAGGGATTCCTACATGCTAGGCAAGCACCCTACCAGCTGAGCTAGACCCCCAGCCTGCACATTCTTAAAAGGCCACATAGTGTTTTGCTAAGTAGCCCTTTGTAGGGTGACTAGATGAGTAGGTGAATTGGGGAGCAGAGGCAGGCTGTGCAGGGGGCAAAGTTGCCAGAGAGGGCAGCTTTGGGGTCTTGTAGGGTTCTGCCTCTTGTTTTGAGGGCCCTTTCAGTGGGTTTGTTACATTTTCAGCTCTTTGGCTGTTTTCTTCTGCATAAACTGGAGTTTACATCTTGCTTTCCAGGTGTGGGGATTTGCACTTGGGAGGGAAGGGCCTGTTTGGCAGTAACAGTCTGTTATGACTGTCACTATCAACCGCCTCTGTCCCCCAACTCAGAAATAAGCAGAGAGCTGCCAGCTCCACCTTGCTGACACCACCTAGCTGGGGGTCCCTGGGGGCATTTCTCCAGACTCGCTGGATCCTGCTCTTCTCTCGCCTGTAGGAGGAGGGTGAGCCAAGCAAACAGGAAACACGAAACAAACATCCACGGGGAACTGCCAGCTCTAATATGCTAGAGACTAGGGAGGTGTGTTCTTGTACCTGAGGGGCTGCCACCAGCTCAGGTTAGGCTTGTGGGGTCTTAGACTCCATCCCAGATGCAGAATATCTTTACAGGATTTGAGGACTCCTGGGTACATTCCCTCACTCACAGGAGATGAAGGCCAGCAGGAAGCTACTTCTATGAAAAACAAAGCCAGAGGTCTCCAGTTAGATAGCTGCCCCATAACCTGAATCTTGTGAGTTCTTTCTTCATCTGGACCCTCTGGGACACAGGGGCCGAGACAGACGCAGGTGTCAGCATCAGCTGTCCTCTGGGAGCTTCGTCTGGTGCCAGTCCTGGGAGACACTGAGGGGATCGTCCAGAGCTAGAAGAAAAGAGAGCGCTCTCCTCTCCCTCTGCTCAGGAAGTCTGGTAGCCTGGGCTCACTGCTCACTCCATCCTTACATCCCTGGGTCCAGGAGGAGGGCCAGGGCTTGGAAGCTGATGCGGGGAGCAAGGCATGGAAGATTGGTTGTGGGTCATAATGGGGGCAGTGTGGTCAGGGTGAGAGCCAGTGAAGCAGGAGGGATGCCCAAGTACCACTCTCCATGAGGCCACATGGCTGGTCTGATATTACCGCTATATAGATGAAGACAAAAAAAAAAAAGAGGCTGTGGGGGGAGCGGGGGGGGGGCGGGGGGCAGTGGGGGGGGGGGGTAATGTGGGAGCACCTGAGCTGGCTGGACACTTGGTTGTGGCTTCCCAGAACTCTTCTGAGGCATCCCAGCCTCTATCACAGAGGGAAATGGTTCTGCTTCTAGGGTCCTGTGCTGAACCTTGAAATAGCAGGTAGACAAGTTTCATCAATAAAAATAAAACCAACCATTGAATGGCTCCCTGTCAATCATCTCCAATAGCCAAGAGGGAGGAGGCCTGAGAACCGGGCAGAAGCTGTTGGAGAACATGGAGATAGCTGGCCAATTGGCTCTGTGTTTGTCCTTCCAGAGATGTCTGCTGAGGACAGGCATGGTGACCCAGGGAAGGACGCACTGGGCTGCAGGGAAGAGGCCAAAAGACCTGAGCTGTCTCAGGCAGGGAGCTGGAGGAGGGTAGCCCAGGTGGGGAGTCCTACTGCTCAGCTTCAGTCTCTGTGCCTCACTGGTGCCAGGATGAATGTCACACCAGGAGTCTTCTTCCATCCCCAAACAGAGGAAACCTACCCCTGCTGTGTTCTGTGTGTCAAACCTCCCCCACAGGCTCCTACATTTGAATACTCAGTCCTCCGCCAGGTGGTAGAGTTTTGGGAAATAGCAAAACCTTTAGGGCAATAGACATGCCTGGCAGAGGTGGATCTCTGCCAGGGCGGCTTTGAGGGCTGCAGCCCCACCCTGCTTCTGTTCTGAGGGCTTTGCCTCCTGTCTGCCATGTTGGATGCTCCCTCAGCCATTGGCTGAACCCACTCCTCCAGCTGCCCTCCTCCCTCCCCTGCCTTGATGGACTGCTCCATCTGATCCGTGGGTCTGAATCACCCTCCAGTACTTCTGTTGGGTATTTGGTCACAACAATGCAAACATATAAATCCAGTGGGCCAGGTGTGGGAGCCTGCTCCCACCTTTTGAAAGGTTTTTAGGTGGAGGAGAAAGGAATGAGGAAATATCAGATAGAAAGAGAGACCTAGATGATGAGAAGGAAGAAACACAGGATAGCTTCGGGAGGGCCTGGTTCAATACCCAACAGCCTCATCCTTTATTGAAAAGGGCTTTTTATAATATGCCAAGGGGAGAGGCAAAAGACTTCCTTCCCCCTTGCAAGATCAAAGCAGACTATACAGCCAAGTGTAGGCCTTTCCAGACACCTGGTAACCATGCCTGTGACCAAATCACCTCATTATGCAGCCCTGCTGGGTAAAGCAAGCTCAGATTCTCTGACCCTGAGTAATTTCTCACTAGGAAGCCTCTGTGGGCTCCCACAACCAGGAGGCACAGGGAGTGACATGTGGGTGACTAGCCGGGCCCTGGAGCCTGTGGGACAGACCTGAAGGTCATTTGGTCCTTTCTCTGATTAGATGATGAGGAAACATCAGAACTTCAGACTTTCTGACAAGATGTTTGGTACTTCTGAATATTTCAGTCTTTGCTTCATTAGGAGGGTGTTTACAACTCAGAGAAACCTAGGAGTCAGCACCATGATCCACCACTCCCCAGTGAACATGTAGCTTCTCCTATGAGAAGGAAATTGAGGCACAGGGTGACTGGTGAGTTGGCTGAGAGCTATGTATGTGCTAAGCCCCCAGGTGGGGGCTGCAGAGCCTGGGCACAGCCCTCTCCCAGTTGAGGCTGCAATAGTGCTGTGGGAAACTGAGGACATCTCTCCAGAGAGGGTGCAAGGAGACTTGTGGTAAACAGGAGGTGGGCATCCAGGGCTTCCCAGCCCTACCGCCCCCTCCTACCCTTACTTGTCTTGAACTCCTTTGGTAAAAGTTGCTTCCCTGAGCTCCGAGGGCACCCAAGAGAACCCTATTATTCCTCCCCCTCAGGTCTGAATACTCAGTCCTCAGATGGTGGTGCAGTTTTGGGAGGCATAGAATC